CGCCCTCTTTCTCCTTTCTTGTGATGCTTTGTTGGGGCTGGAGAGTTCAACCGGTGTCAAGGTTGGTTGTCCCATCTCGGTGCCAGCAATTTACGGTGCTTGGGCAGTGCTGGGTCGCACATGGATGCCCAGGCACTTCGCAACGAGGAAGCTGGGGCCGGAGCCGGGGCCGGTCGGTCAGGGGCCGGTGGTTGTAAAGTGGCCTCCATGAGCAACTGCTTAAGGCGAAAGTCTTTCTTTCTTAGTGCACAGCTTGAAGGCCTTGCAGATTTTGCAGCACTCTGCCTGATGAGACACTCCCAGACACCGGAGACAGGAGTCGCGGGGTTCGCTGTTAGGCATAGACTTGTGGCCCGTGACGCAAGCTTTGAAACTCTGGGCTTGCGGCATTCCCCACAGACCAAGGCTGGTGCTGGAACTACCTTCCAGACACCTGAATACAATGGTATTTAACTAACTGATAACTATCTAAGAACAACTAACTAGAAGATTGAAAGGCTAAGGGGTCACTTGCAAGCGAGCGAGCGAATGTTCCAACGCCTCCATGGACGGTAAGACAGAACTGAAGGGGGGTGGGGCAGTCAGGGTAATATATATACTGCCATAAGGGCACCACTCTAGGGGGCTCCCCTGCCGTCCTGATGGGAGCTGCTAAGGGAAAAAGTCTCCGACGTCTGTGCACGCGGTGTGCGCACACCTAATTGGAATGGACGTGAACAATCACTCGAATCATATTTTATTACTATTAGAACCAATTGATTTTTTTCTTATTTTGTTTAGTTTTTCAAAAGGAAATAATTTATATCCTGAAAACAATGGAACAGGTTTCCTATAAACAAAAACACAGGGGCCTAATACTCTTGTAAATCAGCATAGCTCTATTGGCGTCAATGGAATCATTCATCTGAGGATCTGTCCAAGATTTTTAAGCTTTGTTATTAAGCACATATGCAAGTCTATTGGGGGGGGGAGGGTTATGAGGTGAAGTGGTAATGTGCGTAATATTTCCTCATGATTAATAGTTCTCATAGGAAACGTCCTATATGCATTTTGGGAACAATTAAGAGCCCCACTCACAGCTCTCTACCATATCATGTAATCATTCTTAGTAATTAAATATAATAGAGGAAACATTCCATTATATACTTTTGCTTCCAGAAAGCTCAGTGAAGTTGCAAAAAAGTATCATTAAAAGTGATAAAAACTATTTCTAAAAAAATCTCATATTGTATCTTTGTAAAAAATTCAGCTGGAGTATTTTGTCAAGATGGCTGAACACAGCATCTGTTATGAGGTTGTATCACAACAAGATATCAGTAACTACAGACTGGAAACTAGTTCCTCTTACACTAGTGATTAATTGCTTTGAAAATCTTGTTTATAATGTGCAGTTTACATCTAAAATATGAAACATGATTGTCAAAACAATATTTTAACATGTAGGAGATGAACACATCTAAAGGCACATACAGATTGTCAATGATTACATCACATTTCTTTGAAAACAGAATAACTTCTGCCCTTGTAAACAACTTTGTTCTCACACTTTTAAAGTGAGGTTAGTGCTGACTCAATTATTGCTACATTCACAGTTTAGCAGAATCATAGATAATGTATGAGGTACATTCTACCAATAGATCTATCTTCATTTCTGTTTTACCCATTTGAGTATAACAGACAACTGAATTATGCAGAATAAAAAAACCCGACTAGAACAGCCAGTAACTCCCATATTCACTAGAACTGGAATGAAAATTAGCAGTGATTAAAAAATCAAAAATATCTTCTTTGCTGGAAAGTGTATTCTTCATAATATGAACAGTTTCTTCATTTTATCTACACTGGTAAACGTTTACCTAGGCACGCTAGGAATAGGTGATTCAAGCAATATTATATTTCTTGCATGAACATCCTTCATACATTTTATATATTCCGTCTTTGTTTGAATTCAATAGTTTTGTGAGTTTGTAGTAAGAATCAACTTCCCTTTGATCTTCTATCATAAATATCTCTTATGCTTTTTGTTAGCTGCTTTATGAAAACTTTGTATATTCTTCCACAGTACGTATGCATTGTCTTCTGCAGTTCCAGTTCTAGGGGCTGTAACAGGAAATTAACCAGGTCATCACCAAAGGAATACTAGAGGGGAAAAAAAAATGAGAAGTGACATTAAGGTCATGTGTAAGAACAATATTCCTTTTTTTCCAAAGAAGCAAGAGTGTTATGAAAATGCCTTCCATCATTATTGTGAAACACAAAAGTAACTCCATAAATATGATGCTCTAAGGCTAGTAAAAACTTTGCTCAGCTTGTTCTTAATACAATATGAAAAAGTCATCACCCAAATATTGCTTAGACAAAATACAAAATCAACATACTAAGCCATATAAACAAATTCAAAATAAGCTTTAAAGATCTAACATAATTCATGGGTTGTTCACACGATCACATGCCTACTGCATGTGGCTTTGGCTTAAAAAATGTACAATTATCCCAGTCTAAATGCACTTCTTTAAAAAATTACAATTCTTATTGAGTTACAGTGAATCAACAGCACGACGGATAATCTATAGTACCAATAAAGACAGAACAATTTCATTAAATTGAATGAATGTCAAGCATATATTGTGTTTAACATGAAGTAAAAATACAATCATTAATTCAGTGTTATAATATTTTTTCATAAGAGATATGAAACAAATCATTTGCAAAACCAACATTTCATAGTAGAATAATTTTGCTAATCTTAAAATCATCAGATCAGCATTGTTTTATATACTTTTTGTGGAATATTCATAAACCAAACGGTGTCATAAATAAAAAGGAGATACTTTTTTTCTTTTTGACAATGCTCAAAGGAAACAAAGAATCTTATTTTTATGAGAACAAATTTTCTCTTTCTGTGCAGTGTGTTTTCAGACCCCCGAAAGTACTTTTCTTCATTTTTATATCCATATGACAACCTGCAATAAAGTTCCATTAAAATATACTACTGATTTTCGAAGGTCATATACAAGATAGTGTGTTACATTAAAATGTGTATCAACGCTACTTTTTACAGCTCTTCAGTGAATATACTGATGTAGTGATAAATACTTTATTGGAAGCCTTATTTGCAGAATAAAAAAGAATCCAGTGTGCTTAGAAGAGAAACGTGCATGCATTTAAAGTGATAACCACATATTAATGTGCCTAGCATACAAAACAGATCACAATATGATACAAAAATATTTGTCTTTCAGTGGGCAAAGTATGCCTACAATAAAATTTTAACAATTGTATGGTACTAAGAACATTGTAAAGTCTTTGGGTCCGGGAATGTCTCCTATTCTGTTTGTATAATGCTTAGCACAATGGAACCCCAATCTCTGTTGTTTTGTATCCTAATACAAATAAATATTATATGGTTCTTTACATAATTGTGTTTAACTGTTATAAGACTCAGCATAAGGTCTTTTAATAAATATACTGCAGTTACAGAATACATCTTAGATTCCAAATTGATCATAATCCTTGAATAACCTAAAATGTTAGTTTCAAAGAACAATGAACAATTCTGTTTCTATTTGGTCATAAAACCAAACTTGAAGTCCAGCTGAACTGCAAATCATTTAAAAAGTGTTACTGTGTTAATTATTTAGAATTGATAAAGGTGAGGTATTATTATAATACAAGAAAAAGTGCCCATGTCCTAAACATGTTAAACTTTAACCAATGATACATTTTATAAATAATTCTACACAAGTTATGGATGATTGTAGTTTATACAGTTACTTACTTTTTTTATTGCTTCATAAATAGCCCTAAAAGTTGGTTGTTTATCATCATGGTAAACACCTCTGTTTCCATGAAGAATAAATATTCCGTTTTCTTCAGCTTCCTTACAATTGCTTCCATAAATGCAGTGGTCAGGACGATAATTCCATTGACAGGGAAAGACAAAAAGGCTCTCTGTTCAGAAAAATACACAGTACACAGTTGTTCACAACAAAACTCTTCGGGAGAGAACAAATCAATAGTTTTTCTTGGTAAGATAACATCTTTCAGAGATTGTGTTAAAATATTTGTATACAATTACATTTAAAATAATTAGGTGGCATCAATACAACTTAAATCTATTTTGGACTAAATTATCTCAAAATCAACATAAAGAACATTTTTAAAAGGAATAAACAAAATGCTATCTGGAACATATCCATTGAAAATTCTGAAAAGGGGTACCATTTTCTGCATTTAGAAACTAAATACAAGATTAATATTTTACAGTTGTAGTGTGAAACAATATCAAAGTTAAACATAGAAAAGGACATACCTGGATTATGAAAAAACATAATATTCAACAGATCTTGATCACCCCATGTTATGTTTAGTTTATATTTTTTAAGCAATGGCATAAGAATTTCTCCCCACTGTAGCCGAGCAGTTGTCATATCATTCTATTAAAAAAAAATAATAATAAACAGAGAAAACATTAGAACTAAGTCACAAGAGAAATCAAAGAATCCCAGTAATCTGCTTTTCAAAACTGGAATCTCTGAAATTGCATAGGATTTTTCTTTTAAACATGTTTTTCATACTTCATGAAAATTAAATTACATCCAAGTCCAATATGTCTTAAATTATGCCTTGTTTCTCTTGAAAATATTAGGTTAGTCTTTTGCAACTTTGTTCATCTCCTCCTCTTAATTACCATATAAAATAAAGTAGTAATTTTTCATTTGTGATCATGAATTATTTCCCATAGAAAGCGCCTTGTATACAAACAATACCAAAAAACAAAAAGTACCCTTTGCTATGGATTAATGGAATCAAATACAAAACCTATTCTAATAGAAAATTCTGCAAAAGGCTGTACAAGATATTTTAAATTGAACGTCAGATTTCCCAGTCTCTCCTCAAAACCCATACCTCAAGCAGTTTTTTTAACATTAATAAGAGAGAATATTGAACTGGGGCTGAGTTACAGGATGAAAAGAACAACAAGGAGTCTGGTGGCACCTTAAAGACTAACAGATTTATTTGGGCATAAGCTTTCGTGAGTAAAAACCTCACTTCTTCGGATGCAACCTCACTTCTTCGGATGCATCCGAAGAAGTGAGGTT